TGATTTTGGAAACAGCATAATAATGACCAGAAGTTGGCATGGATTTGTCAAGGAAAGTCTTGTCAGACTAATTCTCTGTCACTGGGTATGTTCAACCCACCTATTAGGGATGCTTAAACTTGAACTTCTGAAATGAACAGGGAGTTGGATTCCTAACTAGTGGCCTAAATATTTCCTTCCAACTCTTACAGTTCCATCATGGACCAACAGACCTTCAGAATTGTTAAATTTTATGGAGGTTATGTGGTACATTCAATACAAACCTGCCTTTTAAGAAAAATTTGCTTAAATTTGACCTACACGCATTGGCCCTTGTATACAAAATACCAATAACCTATGATATTAACATATGAAATTCAGTTCTGCTTAGTACAAAAAAAATTTCTATGACTCACTGTGTATATTAACTTAAAAGCTGTAATTTGAAAGATACACTCTATCTTTCAACCAATCTGTTCTGAACCAGCTTACAATAGTTCATGAAACAGTAGCTCAGTCAAAACTTCTAAACAGCCACTTGCTTGGTTAGCACAATTCCATAGTGCATGAACCAAATGAATCTTCCTGCACTACCTGCCCTCTCCCCATTTCTTCTCCAAATAATTACAACTGTTTGTTAAACAAACCAGGTTAAAAATTAAGGCTTGCAATAAAGCAGCATGAAACCGTACTTTAGATCCCATGTTTCTCTGAAACTATGGAATAAGCAAATCATGATCTCCTCAAGCTGAGATGATTCAAAGAATCATTGTTTCTTTAAAAATATGTCCAAACCTCTTACAGCCCCAAAAGGCAACAGTGGAGGAAATGTGTGAAATAGGCATGCTTAGATTTGTGCATGTGTGTGTACATTTATTTATCATATTTATATAGCCGCCCATCTCACATAGTGACTCTGGGCAGCGTACAATTAAAAAGAATACATAAAAAGCAATTACAAGTAAAAAACTATAACAGCACACAAAACAGGAGGAGATCATAAGGGAGCCATTGCAAAATCTCCGTGGTCTTCTGGACCCCAGGCGTGATCACATAGCCAGGTCTTGAGGCACTTGCAGAATGTTAGCAGGGATGGAGTTAATCTCACTTCTAAGGGGAGAAGATTCCACAAGGCGGGCACCACAGCAGAGAAGGCCCACCTCCTGGGACCCACCAAATGTAATTCCCTGTCAGATGAGACCCACAGCATGTCTTCTCTGCCAGACCTGATGGGACAGGCAGATGTAAATGGGGAGAGGCAGTCCCCCAGGTAATCCAACCCCATGCCATGAAGGGATTTAAAGGTCAAAACCACCACCTTGAATTTATATGTGTGAAGTAGTTAAATATTTAACTGGAAACCAACCTTTAAAATCCTAGATAATAATAAAATATGGTTATTTTTAAAAAAGATAAATGCAACATATTCAAAGTCAATATTTGTTTCTTTAATATATTATATAAACTGTATAAATAATGTCATTTCCAGAGTTCTGCTTTAATAGTACTAAATGAATCAGTTGGTATGCATCAATTTTACAATGCCAAAATTTTTACAAAAATGAAGATATCAGAAAGGATAGCTTTATTGCATTAAAAAACACTGGACTATGAAAAGTTAAAAAAAATCAACTGGAATTAATTAAGGGTTGTTTTTATACAATCTTTATGCTTTTATGGTTAGAATTTCTAACATTCTGCCCAAAATATTTAAAACTATTTTCAGCATGCCTCGATGCAAATATTTTACAAGGTCAGGACTGAATGCTCAAATTTTACCTGAGTTTCTCGTATCTTGTATTTGATGTATTTCAAGTTGATGATTCAGTTTTTCAATGTTTACATGCAAAGCGAAAACATTACTCTACACACTTTCCTAGACCTAGAGGTAGCTGTTTAGGTGTTAAGCCACCTCAATTTCCACCACCGCAAAATCAGATAGTAGAAATTAGACCTATTTGACAATTCCTGTAAAAATGGGAATTAAACCTGGAACCCCCATTCACAAGCACTAAGATTATTAATGAAGATGCAGCAGAGGTTCTTTTCTTTGCTTTCCTAGTCAGTGATCCATTCTTCCATATGCCTTATCAACAGACTTCTGAGGGACAGAAGCCTCAACCAGACTGTATGAATTCAATCGCAAAATTAGCCAACCCAGTTACATAAAGATATAATTTAGAATGTACAGTGGATACTTCCTTAGAAGCAACTATATCAAGAGTTTCAAAATAGGCTTCAGTTACTTCTCCAGAGTACAGTTCTTTACATTTTATGCCCAACAGATTTGGCACTGTTAACTGATTTGTCAGAAAAGAATGAGGCAGATCTGAAGAATCAAAACGTAATTTCCAGAAAAGAAATGCATGTGTACTCTTCAAGAGTAAGAGTTTTATTAATGCACACAACACCTAAAATGCCAACTAAAGGCTTTTAAGGACTCATTCCCTATATGATCAAAAGAGAAATGAATACATGCAAAAGAATTCATGCATATTTAGAGGAAACTTCCACAATGAAGTTAAAAGTCTGTAAGCTATGTAATTCTTAATGCTAGTTTGTGACATGTATTGTGAATATCACTGCAGCTTTGAATGATCTTGAAATCACTCTATGAGGTAGTGTAGTTTTTTTTTTGTAATACATGCTGGTTGTTAGTAGTACTGTTTGGATTATGTATTTGGCCAAATATTTACCATGTTGATTGACAGTGCATGTTAGAAATGCAAGCGTACTTTTCTAGAGGCTTAACCAAAACTTGAGCATACTAGAGAAGATTGCAGGGTTCTCAAATAGTAAATATGCTAGGCAAAAAGTTGTCACAGAAAGATGATTGTGTTCCAAACACAGTTACAAAAACTTATATGTTCTGAGGTAGGAAACAAAGAATTCCATTGGCTTTTATATTTTGTAAACCAGGAAAAGTGTTTGAGGTTCAGTAGATAAAGCTTCTATTATTAAGAGCACTATACTATTACAGAGTTTATACAGACTTTCTGTAATTAATACAATGCAGAACTGGCTATAGAAAAATGTTCTATTTGCTTATTTTAGTAGGTAGCTAAAATTATTGAAGCTTTAAAGTGGCTTATTTTTATAACTGAATTATAAGCTATTGAAAACTGAATTTGAACAGTTACAATTAGCTTTACCCATAAAAGTAATTTATTTAAAAGAGGATTTTCCCAATACAGCCAATTTGGTCCCACGATTAATAATAAAAATTAAAATCCTTCCAGAATACGTAATCATTTCAATTATTCTTATGAAAACCACATCAAATTTTAAGCAGGAAGCACAAATTAACATGGTCTGTTATAAATACTTTTATCTGGAAATCATGGAAGGACAGCAAGCTGTCAAGAATAACTACATCTCTAGTGCAGTGACCTAACATTCTCAAAGACTTAGACTCTTGAAGTGTTTTGTTTTACTACCAGATTCTTAACACACCAAGACTAGAATAATCAGGAAATGTGAAGTAATGGGTGAAACAAATGTTACTGCCTTCCATGGCACTGGACATCTGAAGCAACTAACTGCATGGATTCCTTTCTTTTACACTAGGTATATTGCATATTCTTTACATGTCACTAGAGAAAAGCCCATAACTACATTTAGGTTTGATTGAGGATGATGGATATGAAGTGCAAAATTAATGCAGCTGCAGTTCTACCTTCTTATGCAATGACCTATGCCTCAATCATGCTAGGCTGAGTTTTAAAAAGGATTATTCATCTGTAGTGCATTTATCAGTCATTTGTTGACAAAAATCTGTGATACCACTACCACTCTGCACACACTGTTCCAAGCACAGTGTTTTCTCTGATATTCTTACAGGAACTGGACATAATTCTTGTGCTTGATCATATCCTGCATCACAACCTCCTTTCATATGCTGATAACTAGAATTCTGATCATTAGATGATATAACAGAAAGACCAGCAGATAATTCAACACACAATGGTACTGTAGGTGAGATATCAGAAGGTGCTGGTTGTTCCCTCTCAGGAACCAAAAATGAAAGTGGACAATCAGAGGCTGAGTATTTTGCAAGAATCTGGATTTGCTCATGACTCAGCGCTGCTTCCTTGAATACTTGCTGGCAAAGTCCTGTTAGATTCTGTTTTGTCTCAGCCAGTGTTGACAAAATGTGATCTTTTTCCTTCAGCAAGTTCTCTTTTTCATTTTGCTGCAAGAAAACAGAGAAGTTCTGAGTTCAGTACTAAAACACTAAGAGTGGGTGGGTTCCCACTGACCCAAAGTTAAATTATAATTTA